AGTCTCTAAATAGATTATATCTCTTTGCTCATAAATTGAGAAGGATTATCGCGAATGCTACTGATCGCTTTACCGCCCTCCGCCGCCTTCTACCCTTAACTTAAATATCTACTCTAACGACGGTAATTTAGAAAAATCCCATTTAATGCCACTTGATGGAATGACATAGTCGATGGAAAAAGTACTGCTACATGTTGTATGAGAACACTGCGTGTAATTTATAGTGCGTCGAACTTACTATTTGCTTTTGTTTAATATAAGACTGTCTAATATAACTTTTGATGTGTTGGTCTGATTGGAATGGAATGTTTGGTGAATTCATACAAAATTAATTTTTTTATAATATTGTCTAACATCATAATGCCCTACAGCAACTCGATGTACTTTAAAATTGCTTCCAAAAATGTTCTTTTAATATAAGCTTATGTGGAAGTTATCTCAGGGGAATTTGTGCATTTATTGATTGTATCGCTTATGACTTATAAACTGTTCGATTATTATGAACAATATGTTTGGATCCTCCATAATGACACGGGCATACCTACAATTCAAGAACATATATCAATGATTGCCATTAATTTTAAAAACAGAATTGACGTCCATCCTAACCAACTATTATTTTATTTATACCAAGAAGGCCAGCCAACCAAGCTCAAAAGAAAAATACCTGGAGATCTAATAAGTTTATTTATAGTTTTTTTTCTCCCCATTTGTCGTTAGTTTTATTTTTTTTATATTAGCTCTAGTAGATACGCCACAGGGGGTATCTACTAATTTGTAGACAATTAATTTCAAACAACTTGTCAGCATTCTCTGCTAAATGTAATTATTTTTATAGATTGCAGAATAAAAATAAAATTAAAAAAAAATGTTTGGAAGAATGCATTGTGCTTTCCGATAATGATGCATTATCAGATCAAGTGTACGTTTTTAAATGCGATTTTGAAGTATACCGAATTGCTTCAGAGCATATGTCTATGTATATAGGGTAAAGCAGGGATTAAAGGTCCGCGGGTAAAATAATCCACTATCGATATATCAAAAACCAATAAGATTAAGAATTTTTCAACAACAATATTTGAAAGTAGAGGGAAAAAGATGTATAATCAGTCATCGCTTCTTACGACATTGCTATCGGGATAGAAACGCCAGTGTTTTGAAAGTTCAAAACAAAAGTATTTTCTTTCGGTATTTGTTTTGGTTGTGAGCACTGTTGCTTAGTTTACGAGATCTTAATATATTTTTTAAGTATACATTATTCTTTTATTTTAAATTTGACCTGTTTACCCAATGGTCAGGTTACAAAATTTTGAAAAACAGCAAAAAAAAACATTTTTACAATAATGAATTAGTTGAGATTTTTACTGAACATAGTCAGCTAGTCGTATATTTGATACGTGTTATTTGTTGTGATATTATTGGTTTGGTCAACACAATATAATTGCTTAAAGTCAAATTGGACCTTTGTGCCCCGCCCTACCCTACGTAAATGTTGTATATTTCAGGCAAAAATTACTCCAAAATGTAGAATGTAGAATGCAAATTTTGTTTATAAATCCTCTCGTCTGTTTGTTCTGCGTTGTAATTAAATTTTCGCAATCTCAAATTTTCGAAACATTGTCCTATGTAAATTGCGACGGTTCGGGGAAATGTAAACAGATAGAATAAACATAGGTATAAACAGAAACAAAACTATTAGAGATCACTTATAAATAACTATATTTAGTTTATAAATATTAAACTATATTCTACATTCTGTATTATGAGCCCGCTGTACTGTTTGTAGTACAACAATTTATTGAGGTGCGTTGAGTACTGTAACTATTATGATATTGATAAGGTGTTAGAGAAATTTTTACAAAATTAAATAGTCTATAATATTTTCATTATATATATATATATATATATATATATATATATATTTATATGTATATATATTTATATGTATATTTATATGTGTGTATGTTTATGTACTCCTTTTTGTGTCTCTTCCATCCGGGTGCCCCCTGGCCAACTTTTCGCCCGACACGATTCTTTCTAATTTCCTCCAGCCATAAAGAAGGATACGACAATGCGGAACATTTAATAAATAATAAATTCAATCCACAGGAGCCTTTGTCGTTGAGTAGTAGTAGTTAGTAGAGGCTTAGGGGGCCGCCGATAAAACACGACGGTGATAAAACCATTCCTTTAAGTGTCGCGAGGACAACAGGCATGGATTATTAATCCGAGTTAAAATTGTAATATATAAATATATATATATATATATAAGTGTGTGTGTGTGTGTCATGTGTTATATATCATTGTAAGAAAGGAAGTTTGGAATTCATATTATTATCGCCTTGACGTTTTCGCGTTCCACTCACTCGAAGAATTTTTCATTTCAGGGCTGGTGGCGCCAACAATATATATACATGCATATGTATATACTAGCTAACCCTGCAAAAGTAGTTTTACTATAAAAATTATTTTAATGAAATTTCTAATATAATAAATTTCTAGTATAAAAGCTAATTGTAACAATTTGGCATAAAGTGTGCGGTACATGAGTGAAAAACTCATGCCTTTAGATACTACCCCGAATTTATTAAAAAAAAATAAACATATTTTTTTCCTTTTTATAATTTCATAAATCTTTGAATATAATTTTATGTGATTTAATTTATTTTTATACAATATAGTATAAAATTGCTCAGAGCTTATAAGTTTTCGAGCTTTTTCTACAAGGCGTCTCCACCGCACCGTCTTTCGCCTCGAAATATAAAAATTTTTAAAACCATTTACATTGCATTTGCCAAATTAATTCTTTGAATATCTTTTAAGTACTGAAATTGATGAATCATTTCAATATAAAAAATGTTATATATATAAATATATTTTTGAAATGTTTATTTGTTTATAAACACGTGTATATTTATATAAACTGTAAAACTTGCCAATAAAATATGTTTCCGTTCTAATTAATTTATTTAAATTATTACATCCGTTTTCTTAACTTTGTTAACAAAGGATAAAAACACTATTTTTTATTATTATTTAAAAACAATGGACAATAAATTAAATTCGTATCGTTTTATAACTTTTAACAATATTTTCGATCGTAAAATTTTATGAATCGATTCATAAAAAAATATTGCTTCTGATGACGCAGTTTGTAAATTTACATCATTTTAAATGACGTAAGTGAAAAATAGTACTATAAATTATTATTTAACAGAAATATAAAATTTTGTTAATTATATAGATTTGTATGAAAAAAAATAATATTTATTTCTGAATAAATGCCGACAAATTTAGGACAAATATTCATTTTAAATGCAATTATAAAGTGTTCTAGGTTGATTCAGAAGCTACAAGAGATATAATAAATAAACTCATCTATAAGTTACGAATAAATTTACCTTATAGTTTTCAAGTATATAAAGTATTGATGTAGGGTTATAGTATATAATCTTAAATATAATTGCAGACTATTTTGCATATTTTGAACGTTTCAGAAGTTTCAAAGGTTATATTAAAAAATGTACATATATTGCCTTTTATTAATTTGTGTGAAATATTCATTGATTTTAAATAAATATTTAAATATACTTAGTGTATTTATAGCCGTGTGAGGTTTATTAGAGTTTTCTGTGTATATCTTGATCGCTTTTTCGTTTCAGAATAAATTAATCGATCGAAAGCTCCATCGCTCCAACGTTCGTTCCGTATTAATTTCAAATCCGATTATTCCATGATATTTTATTAATGGAGAGATTGCTGGAGCACTCAAAATTTAATTACAAATTACACCGAGAGATTTGACGAGAGTATAAATATTTCTGATAAGAATGGATCGAAAACTAATAGAAGGTGAAATGATAAATTATTATGTTAAATTTAAATCACATTTTCTCTGGCAACAATAAACTATTTCATTAGAAACCCTGAAGCTTTTTGCTTATTTTAAGATTATTTATAAATAAACTTTTTAGTATTATCATAATATATTGTAACTGCATCTAGAAGATTGCTCTAACTGTGAACCAAATATTTTATTAAAATTTTTGTAGACACTTATGATCTGTAGGTAGAATTTTGCGACTATAGAAAAATTTTATTACGAAACTGATATAATATATATATATACTTATAAATATATATATATATATATATATATATATATATTATGTGCATATATATTATGGGGATCGTGTGTTCGGGAATTATTTTAAGCCCTATTTGACTGACAGGTTGATTGAGTCGGGTCCAAGGGGGCAATTAGAGATCACGGATTCACTGTCAAAATGTTACATTAATATTTGTATAATTGAAACCATGGAATTTGAAATCAGAATCAGTCAACCAAGTTGAACATTTTCAGAATAAGACAACCAGCTTGATTTAGAAAACAAAGTGATTATTCATTTTGATAATAATATTATATTTGTTATGGAACATTTCATATTTACAATTAAACTTTGTACGGTTGTTTTTTCAAATTTTCGGATTATTAAAAATTGTTCGCGATATGGCCAAACATAAACACAAACAAAACCGTGATCAGTGAAATTTTTTTCTTTGTTTTTTTTCATTGATCATATTCTTGTTTATCGCCGTATAAGAACTAACTCATATACCTTAACATCAACAATAACTACTAAATCATATATATATATATATATATATATATATATATATATATATATATATATATATATATATATATATATATATAGTGCACGTGTATATACTCAATTATATTAGAATAGTACTTTATCTACTTTTATTCCCTATCTAAAGTTGCATTATTTCTTTTTTATTTTCAGTTTACTAATGTCCAAAAGCGTCCATAAACATGTTTGTCAACGAAGTTGTTCTCGCCTTTTTTAAGAAGACCAAGAAGAAAACTATAATCGACGTGCAGGATTTTTAAAAATTTACAAGTTTGGAGTTTGTCATCGCCAATGGCGTTATTGGGTGACACAGATTCTTTACGGACAATCCAAAACAATCAATTATTGCCAAATATGGATAATATGACAAATCCCAATGATCAGGAATGGTCCGACACGATCGCACTGATCGCCAAATCATCAATCATGGTGTTCATTATAATTGCAGCTATTTTCGGTAATTTACTGGTGATTGTTTCGGTGATGAGACATCGAAAGTTAAGGATAATCACAAATTATTTTGTGGTGTCTCTTGCCCTGGCCGATATCATGGTCGCCATGATGGCGATGACCTTCAACTTCAGTGTCCAGTTGACGGGACGATGGCTATTCGGTTATTTTATGTGTGATGTTTGGAACTCTTTGGATGTCTACTTCTCGACTGCTTCAATTCTGCATTTGTGCTGTATATCTGTGGATAGATACTACGCTATTGTCAAGCCTTTGAAATATCCCATAAGCATGACCAAAAAAGTTGTGGCGGTAATGATTTTGAACACCTGGATAGCACCAGCTCTCTTGTCCTTTGTGCCAATTTTTCTAGGATGGTACACGACCGAGGAGAACCAGAAATACCGCGCCGAACATCCAAATGAATGCGTATTTGTAGTTAACAAATGGTACGCAGTAATATCGAGTTCTATTTCTTTCTGGATACCTTGCACCATAATGGTGTTCACATATTTGCAAATTTTCCGCGAAGCTGATAAACAAGAAAAAGCGTTGCATACTAGGCAAGGTAAAGCCATGTTGATGCATCGGCCAAGTAGGGATTGTGGTCATAACGGCGATGTCCTGTCGTCATCGGGTGGCTCATCAAAGACTTTGACGTTGCACGAGATTCCCGATGAGCCTTTAAATACGCCAACCAAGGACAAGAACATAATCAAGATGAAACGCGAGCATAAAGCTGCACGTACCTTAAGCATAATCATGGGTACTTTCGTATTGTGTTGGCTTCCATTCTTCTCCTGGTACCTTAGCACGTCCTTGTGTGGAGAACACTGCGATTGCCCGGATGTGGTAGTCGCTATAGTATTCTGGATCGGTTACTTCAACTCCACTTTGAATCCTTTGATCTACGCTTACTTCAACCGCGAGTTTCGAGAAGCCTTTAGGAACACCTTGCAGTGCGCGTTTTGCAGCTTGTGTAAGAACCAGCCCGTGGACCTGGATGATTTGGACACTAGGAGATCTTCTCTGCGACCATATGAGGACAGAAAAAAAAGTGTCTATTCGGAGACTTATCTGAAGCACGTCGATCGCCGGAGGAGTTCGGAGTTCGGTTCGTCGTTATGAGTGGAACTGGTGTCGCCTTATCCGGATAAGGTGACCACCAGCTTTTAGTGTCGGCGGGAGACGCTGGTGTAAGAGAACTTGCGAATAGACTACAAGTTTAGCCAATCCAATTGACAGTTTGTGATTTGATAAGGACTTCCTTGTGTTCTGTTGACTAAAGTTCTAATTTGTACATATAGTTTTAATACATCTATTTGTTGATACGAATAAACTAATTTTTACGAGTGTCCTGTGTCCCGTTTTTTCCATGGCGTTGCAACAATTTTAGGCTTTAGTTAAATGAGTGATATTATCAAAGTTTTAAAAAAATGTGTAAATATTTTGTTTTTTGTACATAAATAAATATATAAATAATATAGTTATATTTAAGCAGCGATTTGCCGATGGATATTATAAACTTTAGCATAAATTTAGATAGATTTAAGAAACAAAATTAATAACTAAAAATTGTTTTAAACATTTGATTTTTTATTTCTTTATTATAAATATTATCAGATAAACATTAAAAACGCAACGTTTACGTATGAAAATATTTATAAACATATTGTGAATATTTCCTATACGTATCATATGAGGTTTGCTTGGTAAAACACGGCCTAAAATCTAGTCAAAAATCTATATAATTATTGATAAAGCTGTCTATAAATAGCATTGATTTCATTTTTATATCAATTGTAAATTGTATATTGTTCAATTCATTATAGGTATTTTAATTTATTTATTTGTAATATAAACTCATTATTTACTATTTAATTTATATATTCACTGCTATTAAATGTATAAATGTTTTATAAAAATTGATTTGTATTTAAAAAAAATAAAATAGCACTTTTTTAGTCTGTGTGATTTGAGATGTAAATATTGATTATTAAAAATTTGTCATCGTTTTGGAAAAGTTTTCTATTATTTTATTTAAATTTTAGGAATTAAGGTAGGTACTTTCAAAACATTTTTTCTGTAGAACCACTTTTGCTGACTTTTGTGAATGCAGAAACCATATTTTTGCGAGAAAAAAAGATATAATGCATAATTTTAATATAATTATATTATGTTATTTATAATTTTTCATTTATTCTTTATTTATGATCCATGTCTTATTTAATACAAATGTCTGCATAAAATGTTCCTTTTATCGACATATGTGAAAACATTAAGCTGAAATCTTGATTATTTGTATATCAACAACGTCGAAAATTTTTTTAAGCATGCATTTTTACTATTAGAATCTATAACTATTAATTGTTTAAAGGTGATTTATAAAGTAGTAGTTTATTATGCTTTATCAAATTGTAATTTTGAACTTCGCAGACCTTTTTATTAGCTTTTGTCAACTCTCACCAGAGCGCTGATGTCGGCCTTTCTGGTGTACGGGTTCGTCATCTGTCAAAATCGACATCCTCCTTAAGATTCTTTAAATCCCAACTAAAACATTACTTAATACTTAAATAAGGCTGTGATAGTGTTTAAAACTATAATATATCTTATCTTTTTAAGCCTTTAGTCACGTATTGAATGTAAATTGCAAATTTCGCGCTTGCACAACATTCGTAGTGATATGTAATTCAAGCTTGCTTAATACTAAACTGTTGCTGGCTTCCAATAGAAATAGTGTTTATATTATGTAAAGTCGTATTTTTTATTTGAAAATAATTTATTTGGCATAATAACAGTTTCAAAATGTGGACTTTTATGGTGCTAGCAAATATTATAAGCTTTTTCATTTCTTCAGGTAAACGTACATGTATAAATATAGATAATGACATGTCATAAAAATCGATTTGTTTTATATGTTTTCAGGTGTGATTTTGTAGTGAATTTGAATTTTTATGTTTTAATAATCAAGTAAACGATTAGCATAAACTGTTATTATAAAGACTGAAAATTCACTTATTTATTATTATTGTTCTGTGTGAGTATATTTTAATAAATTCTATGATTGTAGTTTTTAGTGCAGCGGTTACAACAATCAAGCCTGGTGTAGTAGCAGTAGATATTGGTAACAATTTAACACTGCCATGTCCTGGTGAACAAGGTGTAGTCTCTTGGATTAGAGACGGTCGTGAACCTCCAGATCACTCAAATGTTCAAGATAATGGTAGTTTAGGCATTTGGGACGTTCAGCCTTCTGATGCAGGAATTTATACTTGCAATCGGGATGGGAATGAAATAAAAAAGAATCTATTAAGATTATAGTAAGAAGTAAGTAGATAATATAAAAAATATTGATAAACTTGTAATCTTATTATTCATATACATGATTTTGTTATTAGCTCCTCCACCACCTTTAGTAAATGTAACAACACATATGTCTACAGTTTTGGGGCTGGTTTTATGGAATGTTAATGGTTCAGGGGGTTATCCGATAATTGATTTTACAGCTGAATATAAACTGCATAGTTTTCCAAATGGTAGTGGTGCTCCTGAAAATGAAACATGGAAGATTATAAGTCCTGCACATATGAGTCCTAATACGGTAAGTACAGTGTAATAATCTTTATAGTTTTGGTATTATTTCTCATTGATTTTTTTTAGCCATTATCTCTAGGTATTTTTATTATTTATTTTATAAGCACTGAAGATTATTTTCTTGTGTTTTTAATCTTATAATTAATTTTATTTCAGCCCTTCTATTATATGTCTATATTTATTTATGTTTTTGAATTATTATTTATTTATTATATATTCATTTTTATATTGTTTTTGCTTCATGTACTTTAAATTATTATAATAAATGTGTTGAAACAATTTTGATTTTTTATTTTAGTTAATTTAAACAATTGTTATGTTTGCCATGATTATATATAGCCTAAATAACAAGTTTTAAAGTGCTGAACACAACCTGTATGGGTACAGTAAGTTTATCTATCAATATGAATAATTTTTTAAATACTGCTACATGTCCTTGTTCTTTCTAATTGAATTTTTATTTTCACAGAGACAAATCGACATTTATCATCTGATACCAAATACAACTTATGCCTTCAGAGTATGGGCAACAAATGCTTTAGGGCCTGGTGAAAAAGTTGAAGTTTTAGGAGCAACTTTGTATTTTGATGGTGAGGCAGGTCAGTAAAACATTTATTTTATAAATAATTACATTTAAAGCTAATTATTTATCTTTCTTATAGAACTGGCAAGACATTTGTTAACAGGGGCAGATCAATTCGATACTAGGGTTTGGGTGGCTGCGGTTGCTGTGGTTATGGGCACTCTGACTGTTCTGACATTTGGGACATGTTTGTTACTATATAAAGAATGTCGAGCGCCTAATGGTAAGTTTTAAGATGTTTTTTTGCATATAAATGTTATTGGTTTGTGAACGTTACTAAACATATAATGGTGTGCGCCAATATATATATTAAATAGATATTTCATTACTCCATTGAATAAATTGATTTTGATTTATTTATTCATAATTGTTGGCTACATGAAAATAATTTTGATCCAGGTGTTTCATGTATAATTACAAATATCTCATCATATTTGTTTATTTCATTTACATTGTTATTAGTTTTTGATGTAGTAGACATTCAATGTGTAGTTAATTTAATGTTATATTTTTGTTAATATTATGCTTAATGCTTCATAATAAATTTTTTATCCAAATAGCGAAAACAAAAAAAAATCCGAGGTTTGATTGTTATTGGTGTGCTGCTTTCTTATAAAGTGTTCCATCTTATTTCTAATTATGACTAAATTATCATCAGTATTTTGTGTGATTATTTTCAGATATTCAAAAATATTTATTAATACTTTCACACAAGTTATTGTGTGTGATCAAATGTTAGTGTAGTGCTCATGATTGTTGTTATCAATGGTCCCCAAATATCATTGTGTATTTTCCTATGTATCGATGTGATAAATAATAAATGATATGTGTGTAGTGCCAAAAAAATTTTGAATACTACAAGAAATTTTGTAAGTAACAGTAACAAGATTTTTGACTATTGGTTACAACGCTTGAATTGTTTTTCGTTGCATTAATGAATAAAATAATATATCAAATTTATTGATTTGTATTACCTCTTTGCTTTCAGTAGCATGTTACTTTCCTAAAGCTTTTAAATATATATTTTTTTATTGAAATTTAGGTTTTATTATATTTTTATAATTTTCTCTGTCTCGATTTACAATATAAATGGCAACACACTTCTTCATCTAAATAGATACTTTCTGCTTGGTAAACTATCTGAATGTATTTTTTTCTAGGAATCTCTAATGTAATTATCTATATCCTTTTTGTATATGTATATACTTCAATTATAGCTTAGCCACTGTCAATTTAGAAACAGTTCACATTTTTCTAAAAATCAATCTTCAATTTTCAGAAGATGATATGTGTCTCCAAGAAACAATGGAGTTAGTACCAAACATTATCTTAAATCCTGGATACTGCGAAATGCGTTCTGAAGCAAATGCCAATGATATTCGATACTCTATCAATAACTCCATTAATGAAGAAATACTTTCAAATGGAAGACCTTTCGGAAGCATCAGAAAGAAGAGGAACTCTCAAATCAGTAACGGATATATGCCTGTCAATTCTGATGATGAGGACTTTTATCCGTGCATGGTCTTTAGTGGAGGCAGTAATCGGGCAAGGAAAGTTTGATTTTTGTTTATTATTTTTGTGTTGTATGATATGTGTTGTGCACCTCCGAAAAGAAAGTATATTGTCAATGCTTGAAGTGGAAGATGGAGATAAAGTAAGCATAGTAGAGCACTAAATAAATTAAATTAGCACTGCAGTAATTTTTAATGATATGTTATGTTTGTGGTGTAAGAAACTTTACAGTGCTTGCTTGTTTACCACTTCTTATTTCATCGATATTTTTCGATTTATTTGAAGTGAAAAATCAAGCTTTGACAATATTTTATTAAATTTATCAGAAATTTAATTGAAATTAGTAAATGCACAAGAGTTATTTAAGTTTTATTCTGCAAATATTTTGATTGCATTGAAATAAAAAGAAAGTGATAGTTTATAACAATGGTTTTAAGCAATAAATTATCTAAAATTTTCTGGGGTGCATCGTTGTCAATTTATATTTA